GCGATCATGAGATGCGGAGACCGACTAGCGACGATTTCTCACCTGGAATGGACAGGCCTCGGCTGCTGCACTGTACATATACAGTCGTACACTAGGTATCACCCCACAAGCGCACATGGCCGCTTTATATGAGTCCACAGCTTCAGCTCAGAAATGTGAAACTGAGGTTTTTGTATTCGTACACGCAACACAATAAATACAAAGTGCAATCACCTCGTGGTGGCGCAGCGGTGGGTCACGTTCAGTGAGCGAACCGGCGTTTGTGAGCGGCATGGCGGGAGCGAAGGTTGGTACGCTTCGCGGCGCGCTTCTTGCTACCGCAAGTGGGTTCAGGCTCAGTAGGCGGGTCGGTTGGCTCAGTCTCCGGGTCGGTTGGCTCAGTCTCGGTAGGTTCGGTTGGCTCAGTCTCGGTAGGTTCGGTTGGCTCAGTCTCGGTAGGTTCGGCTGGCTCAGTCTCGGTAGGATCGGTTGGTTCAGTCTCGGTAGGGTCAGTGGGCGGGTCGGTAGGATCGGTAGGGTTGGTTTCCGGGTCGCTCGGCGTGGTGCTGCCACCACCAATGGCCGCGAGGAGCTCCTTGACTTTTTGGTCACCGAGCTCCTTGAGAGGACCGTACTCGAGCTTCTCCTCCCCGACGCCGCTGGGAGTCTCGCCGGAAAAGACAATGTCTGAAAAGATAGCCAGATAAGCTATACACCAGGCTATGTGTGCGTGAGAGTCAAAACTCACAAGCAACGTCGACATCGCTGTGGCCGACGGCACCGGACAGGCCGGCGTCGGGGTAGCAGGCGTTGCCGAGGACCAAAGAGGCCTCGCCGATGACCTGAGGAGTGTCGCCGTTCGAGTCAGCAAAGACGGCGTAGAACATCTTGTCGCCTGAAAAGCATTGTGAGCGATGCGCTCCGAGCGGTTTGAACGGAGGAGACGAGACATACCGCAGATGACAGCGCCGAGGTTGTTTGGGACGATGCCTTGCGACTCGTACCACTGAAACGCTCGGTAAGCAAGGGTCAGATAATCGAATGCTGGTCGTACCTCGTCGGGGAGAACAAACCACGGAGCTTGGTAGGTGTCCATGGCGCCCCAGTTGGTCTGGGCCTGGCCGTCTGGGTTGCCCTACAGATAAAGTCAGTCGAGGATCACGTCGCAGCATGGCAGGTTGCTCACTGGGCATTTCCAATTGACACCGTCGCAATCGATGTCCTGCAGTGATGGTCAGTCGAATTCAAATTCGGGTTTCGAAGCATCACAAACCATGTCGGCAATGAATGTGATCACGTTGGGCAGTTCGCTGGCGAGATGGAGGTCAACGTTTGATGATCCATCGCAGTCTGGGTGGGAAGTTAGCGAGTGCGCGAGAGGAGAATTAGCCTCAACGACGAACCGTTGCAAGTCGGGTACGATCCAACAACCTTGCCGCTGCCAGCCTTGACGAAGTCGTACAATGCCTTGACGTCGATGCTCGAGTCCGCCGCAAACTCGCTCGCATCGCGGCGAGTGACGTTGGTGTAGTGCGCAAGGGCGCCAGAGACGAAGAGTGCAAGATAGATATAACGCGCAAGAGGGGACGACATCGTGCAGGAAGAAATGAAAAAGTGAAGAAGAAAAACTGCACGAAGTGAAGAAGAAATGTGCTGCGGGATGGGTGAATGAGAGACCACAAGATTGGCGAGACGCGGTCTTATAAGGTGGGTGGCTGTCGCGAGGGCCGTCCATGCTTCCATCAGTGTACTGCTTGTCCACGGCCGTTTGAGCCCGTACCAGCACGACTCAGAACACATCGCCGAACGCCGACCCTATACAGAAGAGGGGCCCTGTGGCGCACGATGTGCCCTACGAGCCGCTCTATTTTAGTTTCGAACGTCCAGCGCGGCTGAAGATTTTGAGTGAATTGGGCGTGAATCTTCTGCATGGCGAAGGAAGAACAGACCGCAGCATCAAGCAAATAAACGCGGACCTTGCCAAAGGACTCACGAGGGACTCACGAACTCTGTGGGGGTAACGAGAACGTTGCCACGGGTACCCAATAGCGACAGCGAACATGAGGCGATGCGCTAGGGTACGGCCAAGGGCGATCTCGTCTGACCAAGCAAGAACACTGGCGAGCAGAATGTCGCATTGCAGTGGCCCTGCGATTCTTTGCTCTACATAGTGATCTTCGGTAGGACGGCGAACAGGATGTATACACTCCTGTCATATTTGATCGTGACAAAAGACAGTGGACTGGCGTGGCCGACACAATCGGCTCTCATTCAATTGCCAGGGAAGGTAACGACGACCTGAATGAACCTATCATGAGTTGCTAATGATTACGGACTAGTGGAGACTCAGAGCACGGTTGACGATGATGTGCGACGATTGATTAGCGCTCCGCGAGTGGCTTCCACAAGGTATTAGTCGTTCGCATCAGCTCGTATAGCTGTGCAACTTGGTCTGGTGACATCTAGGGGAGGAGTTAGTTTGGGGCTGTATAGAAGCAGTATGTAAAGTATTGACTTGTGCACATACCTTCTCCCAGACCGTGGGGTCCAGACGCTTCCCGCGGAACTGGCCAGACTGTTCGGCTGTGATGTGGTCGAGATAGAGCTTCCACTGCGATAGGAAACCCATGATATGCTGTGGATTTGTGGAATCTTTGTGACGACGGAATTCAGACTTGAAGAACGTATCCCAAGTGACCGCTGCAGAACCATTAGAATTGACTCGAAGAAATTACAGGACATTGAGCTTGCTTCTTCAACAGGTAGTCGCCTGTGAGCACGGAGGATGGCCCGCGCAAGCCTTACATGTTCTTGGGTAAACACTCGTTATATCTTGAATAAATCTTGCGCACGGAATAGGAGTCAAGAGCATTTTCGCGACCGACATAACTGGCGCGACTCAAAGTCCGACGGTCGAAAAAGGGGAAGTGCACGATTTCGGCTTTTGCCTTTTGGTCGCGGGTCGTCACGTTACCTCGAACTCGACGATGAATCTAAACGCGCCACGATTCATACCCTCCGGTGGGTTCAGCCGCATCATTGCAGCGCTTGACGCGGAGAATGCAGCTTTGTCGACAAGGGCGCACACGCGCAACAGCCCACCCGCCACAGCTAGACCTTATAGCCATTCTGCAGCCCAGCCTGAGCCAGCACAGCGACCCAGGTTAGAAACTTCTCAAGTCTCTCTCAACATATCACTTGATGCGCTTTTTTACGCAGGATTCAGCCGTTTATTCTACAGCCTGGCGTGACCTCAACTTCCGCCATAGCTATCAGCAGTATCTTCCACCCTCCTGCGCCTATCACTACTCCACCTCCACATCTGGCCTCGACAACTCCACCTCGCGAGGCTCGGAAAGCCCTGGCCAGAGCGGCAAAGGACCTCGAGAAGTTGGAACACTTGCGTCTGCCGTTGTACACCGCCAAGGATACTATCAAAGGCACGGTCCTCAGCAACCCGGAGGTAGTCTATAGCCAGGATGCCGACATGATCAACGAACTTGTCACCCGACTCGTCGGGCCACTCGGTTTGGATCTAGAGTGGAGGCCTTGTTTTCGCGCTGGTGAGAAGGAAAACAAGGTGGCAACCATCCAAATCTGCGATGCCACAACGGTAATTGTGGCACAAATCGCGGGCATGACCAGTGAGCTGAGAATTCACGTCCCAATCTGCCAGTCGCTCATTCGTCTCCAGAGATACCTAGTCAGCTGAAAACGGTTCTCGAAACCCCAGATATCATCAAATGCGGTCTCGCTATCAGCGGAGATGGTAGCAAGCTTCTTAGGGACTGGGATGTTGCGCCGAAAGCACTCCTCGATCTGGGTCAAATGGCTATTCAGGCCGACTCAAACGCGCCGTTGCGTCCATCACTACAGTTCCTTGTTGGAAAGTATCTCCAGCGTAACCTCGATAAAGGCAAGGTCCGCACGAGCAACTGGGAGCGCAAACTCACGCAGGCGCAAATCGACTGTACGATGTTGTCTTGCCCTGCCGAGTCATTCTGCTCACGGCAATTTATCACAGACGCCGCTAATGATGCATTCTGCGGACTGCAAGTGTATTACGTCCTCAAATCGATCGCCAGTGCTTCCTTCCGAACGCTCACGCCGTCCCGTTACACCTTTGACACAGACCGCTCGTCCGAGTCGAGCGACACGCCATCGCTAACTACAACTTCGACTCCTCCTGTAGCAGCAGCCCCTTCCTCACGCGGCGCGGTCTCTTCTGTAAAGGGGAAAGCGCCTGGTAAGACACCCACTTTTGTCTTTGGCACAACGACCGAGGACGATATCATTGACCTCACCACGCCTTCGCCTTCGCCCACATCCAAGCCGGGCAGCACAAAGCCCACATATGCGATACCTGTTGCCTCTCGGTATCATCCTCCGCACGTATGCAGCCCTGCTTCATGCGGGCTTACAGGCTGTGGCACATCACTGGGATGGGGCTCGACCAGATGTGCGGTCTCCTGAGGACCCCCATCAATCCTCTCAAGCGCACCACTGTCATGTACGTGTCTCCTCGGTTTCTTTTTTCATGCTCTAACGTCGTCGCCACACAGCGGTTACGTTGTCGAGGCCATCCGCATCGACCCGAGCTTGCCCTACCGACGCGACGCGCTCAGCGAGCTTATCAATACCGAGCCGTGGACGCAGGCGCGATACGCCTTTCTCCTGGCTTCCTTGACTTGACGAGGATTTGTCGCGGATGCTCCTTCTCTTTTACTTTCCTTTCTCGCACCCAATACACCCCCACTCCGCAGAGTGTAAACTTCTATCGCTGCGCCATCTTTGGACATTTGCTTTTGTCGACCCGCGACCTAACGGCGATGTGTAATATCACCTGCACATGTATTTCTCCCTTGTCTCACTGGTATGCATCGTAATTTACTTCTCTTCCATACTAGCGAGAAGCTCGGGGCGAGACTTGAGAGGACGCGGGCACGCCATGGTTTGGTGGCGGAAAATCGATGTTCGAGCATATTCTCTGGCTCGCCACTTTGCGACACCACAAAACCAATTGGTCGTGCCCAGAGTCGAACCGGGATCTCAGTGTAAACTTTACTGCGCTGTTACCATTTAGCTACACGACCTAATGCGAGTGGTTGCAGGGGTAAATATACATAGGTGTGCTTCGACGGAGAACTATCCCCGAGTTGATTCAACTAACTACGCACCACTCGACAGCTCCTCAAACAAGCGCTTGGCCAGTTATCCATTTGTTCAAGACATGCAGGGCTTCTCTTCGTTTCTTGGTTGGAGCCATGTGTCCAGTCCCATCCAAGGTCACGACTGCCAGCTCGGTACCACCGCTACGTGCTGTCTTAAACGTTCCAGACCGCTTCCCGGAGCCATCTACCGACCATTCCTCAAGAGCTTGTTGCTGAAAGATCTGCTGGCCACTCCATTGCAGCTTCTCGGCCTCTTGAAGGTTGCCGACCTGGAAAGAGAAACATATTGAAACCAAGCTCTCGGACAAATGCGTGGCAGTAAGCCTCTCTCACCCAGTTGCAGATCCAGTCGGTCGCACCGACGAGGTGCAGGACTTTGATACCACGATGCAGGAGCGTCTCGGTGTATGGGTTGCTGGAGTGGAGCTGGTCGCCAGCCGTCGTGAAGTCGCGCATTACTCGATCTGAACATGCTTCCATCGTGATGTTCTTCGGTGCAAGCTTGTCGATGCCAAGCCTTGCACGAACGTCTGCGCGGTTGAGGTAGTCCACGACCCAGCTGTTTGTCATGAGATGAAAGTATCGCAGTTAAACTGTGACATTACGGTTTAGTGAGCCCACAATCTTTGCCAACGGGGCACGGCTCCTCCAAATCGTAGAAGTTGCGTCCTGTTCGGATAGTCACCAGCATTCTTTCCTGAGCATTGTGGTCTTACTTACCCGTCTGCATTGCGACCGAAGCGAGTTCCTGCGCGCAAAATTGTTCTGCGGCTTGACAGGAAATAAGATCAAACTGATCGATACAGCTCTCTGTATACCAGCTTCGGCAGCGAGGCATCTGGTTGGACCAGAGTGAGTAGCTGTAGACCGCACGACTGAGAGACATAGGAGATTACCACTGATTTCATCCGTACACAAGTGCTTATCGGAAGCAGCGGGGGAACGCTCGGGCTTGCATTGGTGCAAAGCATGGTGTGCGAGGTAAGGGACATGCTGTAGTCCGGGTGAGATCAAGCGTACGCGAAGACAATAAGCCGCGGACGTCAGATAATTGGTGAAGCCGTTAACAATGACAAGTGATTGCAGGTTGATGGGGACTTCGTGCTGGCCGAGACGAGCATTGTAGTCTAATATTGCGGTCCCGTACACGGGAAGCATTCTGCCCTGAGATGGTGTCTTAGTAGGGCTGGCACCGTTTGGGCGTTACATACGCACTCCATAAGACTCTCCAGTAAGATGTAAAGGTCGCCTTTGTAGACTACCACTGAGAAAGCTGCTGAAGAATATCTTGACGAATGCGACCAAGTCTTCCGCGGCCTCCACTGTCGTGGACTGGAAGTTCATAAGCATTAGGCGACGTTCGATCCAACTGAGAGACTTACAACGCGCTCTTCATGATCTGCGTAAGAGAAACCAGTTCCTACAGGCTGCTCAAGAAATATGACACTGGCGTTGTTGGTCCAAGAGTGGGGACTATGCTTCGGCTCAGGAAGAGTACCGTCGTCGAACTGACATGGGCCTGGACCAGGCTGTCAGTGACCATTGAAGCACTACATTATTCAAGAAATTGTTGCGCACCCATTTCAAGAAACAAGCCCACTTCATTCAGTTACCGTTCAATCAACTTCGTGATACGGCTAGCGAACATGTTCACCTGTGCTGGAACATCCTGGGCCACCGTTCACCCAAATGAGGACCGGGTCATTTTTGGGATCATTTCGCGACTCGTGGAAATAAAAGAACAGATGACGTGCATCGTTGTCGACATAGCCAGCGTAGGACTGAACACCTGGTGTTCTCTCGCAAAACCCATCAACCTTCTTGACCCGGACGCCATACGCAGGATATGCTGGATGGCTCAAGTGTTCGAACCCTCCCATCAAGAGCCCCGAGGCAGTTGCGTTCGCTATTGTAGAGAGAGACAGCAGTCCATGCATCCAGAGAATTTTGCTAAGCATCGAGTGTAAGTTCAAGTCTACCCTTATGAGGCCGGCACTCACCGATGAAATGACTCAATCCGCAGCCAAACACGAGGAATTTTCCATCTTCAGCTGCAGGAGAAGAGAAAGCCAGGAGACAGGAATATGAGATTGCAGCATAGTCGAAGTCAACAGTTCATGTGAAATACAGAATCAGAATGAGGTTAAGAGGATAGACCACACATAATCCTAGCAGGTATCATGGGTAATATCTCCTATGGAAACCTTTTGAAGGGACGAATGATACGAAAAAAGTTGCGTTGACAGTACTGGAAGGTATATATGGGACTGGTTGGGTCGAGGGTAAGGTCTTGACTGGACCGCCGACTTTGTGAAGGTAACTGCTTCTAGACGCTTCACTGGCAGTAGACAGTTAGCTCAGTGATTGTGGCGTCTGCTTCGCCAAAATTGCTCTTGAACATGATCGAGGTACCTGGGGTAGCTAGCGAAAGCAGCCGGCGTCTTGAAGGTCGTAGGTTTGCAAAGGGGTCGTCGCGCACAATCTTCTTGATTGCTGTCAGCACCCCAATAAACTTATCGCTACAAAAGGAAGCGTCAGAATAAGACTGACGAGCAAGAACGAAACCTAATCACGCACGTTACCCATTTATAGATGCAGTTGACCTGGTCACATGAGTGCCGTGCGAGCGAAATGCGGGTGAATATCGCATTCAGCGGCGGGCCAGTCGTAATTTTAGAAAGTGCATCCAGCTTGGGCAAGTCTGCTGGAAGTTCGCACGCACGAAGAGCAGCGACGACCGGCTGCGATGCCAACGCACCCGTGCGCACTTGCGGCTGGAAGTTCCGCCCTTTCGCGATAAGCGGCTTCAGCTCAGCGTGCTCAGAACCGAGCTTGAATGCACTTTTGATGTCCGCATCGAGATTAACCAAATGCACCAGCAGAACACGACGCTCACGCACCACTATCTCCCCGGAATGAATGACGGCCGCGTCGACCAACAAACGCGCCTTCCTCTTCCCAGTGGACGACCCGATGCGCACACGGTGAAGCACCTCTGCTGGCAATGTTGACCGGAGTGGATGCGACGACAACACAGGCGTGATGCCGCGGGGTAGCATGAGCGATGTACGGGCGAAGATCATGCACAGCGGCGTGGCAGCAAGCTCATCAGACGTCGTGTAAGGGCTGACGGGGTCCACCATCCGCTCAGTCCGTGGGAGTAGATCCACGGGTGACGCAGGGCCAATGAACTCCGGCGTCGAGTAGGAATATGAGATACCTAAGCCACGAAGGAGCTCGAGTGGTAGCAGCCCGTATGCGCTCCTGATGCGGTGTGATGCACTGAATCTAGACCCCGGAGTTGGCTCTGACATTGAGGTCGTGGAGTATGTAGCACAAATCGAGAGAAGACTGGAGGCTGATGCAGATACAATTGGCGGCGAAGAACAACTGGTGCAAGTAGTCGGCATGGACGGCGTCTGCTCAAGCAGCAGTGATGGGCCACCTGTCCGTAGAGGTGTGCTTGATAGTGTACGTTGCAGAGGCTGTGCCACTCCTGTAGGAAGAGACACGTTACCGAGGGAGCCAAGCGCAGTGTTTTATTGGCTGCCATTGGTGAGAGATATTACAGGCTCCTGCTGATTGTGCTTTGGTGATGAGTTTCCTGAGGTGGCGGCGGTCGGTGCGGTAATTGTCATGACCGGTTTTGCCTTTGTTAAGCGGTGCGACATCGAGGGTAGAAGATTCGAATCTCCGCTTCGACCTTTTGAAGAGGAGTTGGAGCTGAGCATTGCTGGCGTGGCGTTGGAATTAGCTGAGAACATGAGCGACGTGAGGTCTTCAGGCTCACTCCGAGTAAGTACGAGGGTTGAGGCCGACTGGGAAGTTGCTACGAGGCTAGTAGCTGGTTTGCGGATGCTTCCAGACGGGGTCGGTAACGCCGGCGTGAACGTGAACGGACCAACCACAGGGATACTGCCAAGTCCGGCGGAGCCGTCACCTGTAATATTGAGTCACTAATTGCAACTGAAGTGCTTGATCCGATTGGCCGGAAGGGCTTATTCGTGCTGGAGTTGAAAGGAAATAGAAGTATTGGGTGACTTCCGGATTCGCGTAGGAGGCCTCTGGGCGACTCAAAACGGCGCTTCTGACGGGGCCGGAGGGACTCTGGACGCGTGTCCCATGTGCACGAGAAAGGAGAACGGTTTCGTGCGGCACAGGCTTTGTCGTCATCCGCGAAGAAGGCCAGCAATGCCTCGACGAGAGTGGTGTATGCAGGGAAGCGTACTGTTAAGAGCGAAGCAGCTGACCTCGCGGTTACCAAAGACTGTTCCAGCCCAGACAGTGCGAGCGAGGTTGTGGACGACGAAATGCCGAGGAGTAGGGTGCGCAACTCGTCGAGGTGTTGGCAGGCCGTTAAAGCTTCCTTGCGCAGTTTGAAGAAGTCAGCGACGTGGTGGGAGAATTCGCTGATCTTGAGCTGACGCTGCACCCGGCCATGTGCGAGGTGGTTGTTGGTGCAAAGATCCTGGAAGCCACGCTTGCGATGGACGCTAATAACCGCAGGGCTGGAGCTTAGTGGATCTTCCACCTCATCAAAAATAATAATAGGGTGCTGCTCTGAGTTTCCGAGAGGAGCGTAAGAAGGGATGCGGCTGGAAAAGCAGGCCCCACAGTGAGTTCGACGGAAGGTGATAAATTGACGGCGACAACGAACCTGCGAACAACTTTCATGGTCCAACAGAAGTAGAAGCGTGAGATTGGAGCTAAGTAGAAGAGTGTTTGTGGTTAAGTGCTCGAGTCATGAAGACGTCGCTGAGTGAACAAGTTGCTTAGGCAATATGCTTGAGGTCTGCCTGAAAGTTGCCTGTTGTAGGGCAGAGGCTGGCTGAAACCGTGGTACACTAAACGTTCGATGTGATCTAAGAGGAAGAGTTGCAGACAATAAAGCCGGATGTGGTCAATACCGTATCGTGTGGTCG